TAATTTCCAAATAAATCGTTAAGGTATAGTGGTTTCTTGAATGAACTTCCATTTTTAATTTTATGCAACTCATGTATCCAATTACCAGAAAGATCTAACCAAAAAATCTGTGGAGATAACTCCCAAAGCCAATAAGGTATTGTTTCTGAAATGGCAACGTTTGTGAGCCTTATATAAGAAAGTTGTTTTTTATTACTTAGCCATGCTGGAAATCTGGGACCCAATCGACAGTTCCGGACTGTGATTTCTGTTAGGCTAAAAGGAGGAACCCATTCGCGGCTCATATTGAAGATTAAACTTTTGTTCGACGATGATATTCCGAAACTTTGCAATTTTGTGAGGCCTTGCAAATGATTTTGGGAGAGAGCACCTTCCCAGTAATTGTTATCAAGTAACAAGAAGTTTAAGTTTGCAAGTTTTCCGATGCCATCTGGTATGGACCCATTCATTTGATTAAAAGAGAGGTCTAACATCTCCAATTTGGACAACCTTCCAATTGATGCTGGGATTGGGCCTGAGATTAAGTTATTAAAAAGTAGAAAGTATCTTAAGTTCTGAAGGCATGCTAGTGAATAGTCTGGCAACTGTCCACTCACTTGGTTACTTCCTAACCATAAATCTTCTATGCTACTGTTGCTGCATTCAACCAAACCCCTTATAAGTTCACTTATGTCTCCGTTAACTTGATTTTCGAATAAATCTAAAGTTCTCAAGTTGCAAAGGTTTCCCCATGGGATATCAAAAACAAAGGTCTTCATATAACTACTACAAAGATATAGATGCAAAAGGGAACTTATATTAAACAACCATTGAGGTATTGAAGAGTTGAAATTGTTATCAGAGATATCAAGGACGGAAAGGGAAGTGAAATTGATGTTTGGTACAGAGTGAGGCAAGTTGTGAAGTTCACAACCTCGCAATCTCAATTCCGACAGAGAAGGAAGCATATTAAGAGCTTGCAGCCAATTAGTACTTGCCAAAGTGAGGTTCACATTTCCAAGATTAAGATATTTTAGAGAAGACAGACCAACAAGCCAGTTTAAATCGGAAACCGAACTTGAAAGCCCAAGGAGATCAAGGTGGCGCAAATTTGATAGGTTTCCAAGATGAGGAGGAATCAGTCCACCAAAAGATGCACTTCTCTGGTATTTTCCCTGTCAGTCGGTTGTGGGATAAATTTAAGGTACCCAAGGTTGAGAGATTTGTTATTAGTTCTGGGATCTCTCCCTGAAGATTGTTGCTTGACAAGTCAATGATATTTACCAACTCAAGAGTCAAGGTATATATCAATTGTCTTCCTTTCATAACCAATTCCATTTCCTTTTTCATTTCCATTTCCAATTCCATTTCCGTTTCCATTTGCATTTGCATTTGTGGACCATACAGGTCACTCCTAGAGGGTTTATATGGGCTATATGATATCAACGAATTCAGAGGCATGATGGAATGGATCCTGATAAATTATTAAGAGCGAGGTCTAGGATGTGGAGGTGAGTAAGAGAGCATAGTTGTTCAGGAATATTTCCACTGAACATGTTAGCTCGTATGCGCAGTTCTGATAGTGATAAGAAGTCTTTTCCAATGTATTTGGGTATGTTCCCGTAGAATCGATTATCTCCAAGATCAAGCATCGTCAAGCCTTTGCAGTTCTGGAATGCAAAAGAGAGTTCCCCTGAAAGATAGTTGCTGCTTAATTTTAACCAAAAAAGCGCTGGTAGTGAGCAAATTGAACTTGGAATCTCACCATGTAAATTGTTTCCGGATAAATCTATGATTCCAAGACTTGGCGAATCCCTCCATTGATCATGGATTTTTCCAGATAAATAGTTGTTTGATAGATAAAGCATTGCTAGATGTTCCATCCTACCTACGGGCAATGGGATGCTACCATTTAGGAAGTTCCCAGATAAATCAAGAACTTCCAATGACAGCATCATTTGGTCGATGTTCATGGGAATTGATCCTGAAAATAAATTGTTTGCCAAGAGGAGATGTGACACATTAGGCCAAACTGGGAGTGAACCCTCTAAGCAATTGAAACTTAAATCCACTAGATACGCTCTAGAAAATACTAATGAATTGGGAAGCACTCAATATATCCAACACTTCAAGGAAAAGCAATTTTGGCGACTAAAAACCAAATTTTCGTCGTTGAAAGTAGCACAATTGGCGGCTAAAATGGAATTAGTAGCTAAAAGTGAAGACTTTTGGCGACTAAAAGAGTTTAGTAGCCAAATGTATAGTTATTGGCGACTAAAAACAGATTTAGTCGCCGAATGTATGGGTTTTAGCGACGAAAGGTTTTTTAGTAGCCAAAAGTGACGGTTTTTGGCGACTAAAATAATTTAGTAGCCAAAAGTATAGGTTTTGGCGACTAAAAAACAGTTTGGTCGCCGATTCTACGTGTTTTGGCGACTAAAAACAGTTTGGTCGCTGAAAGTGAAGCTTTTTGGCTACTAAAAAAAATTTAGTAGCTAAAAACAGGCAATTGGCGACTAAAATTCAGTTTAGTAGCCAAAAGGGGACGTTTTTGGCGACTAAAAACAGGCTAAAAACAGGCAATTAGCGACTAGAATTCAGTTTAGTAGCCAAAAGGGGACGTTTTTTGCAACTAAAAACAGGTTTAGTCGCCAAAATTGTTTATTTTTAGGTGGAACTTATTTTTTTAGCGACTAAAAAATATTTTAGTAGCCCAAAATTACATTATTGGCGACTAAATAATATATTTAGTCGCCAAAAGTGGCTTTAATTTTTTTTTAGTAAATAATTTATTTTTTACATAAATTATATTGCATAAAAATAATTATATTTATATATATAGTTTTATATTAATACGGGTCAATATAGTATATAAATAATATATATTGCATATATATTTAGGAAAATGTGATATTGTAGTGGTATAGTGGAAGGAGTGTGTTGCTAAAGGTTTAGAAGGTAGAAGGTTGGTGGTTCAAATATCAGAAAAAATAAAAAAGTTAGCTTTTTTTTTTTCCACCGAACAACCTTTGGCGACTAAACTATTGGTCGCCAAAAGTATTTGTTTTGGCGACTAAACAGTTTGGTCGGCGTTCCATCAACTATTGGCGACTAAAAGATTAGTCGCCAAATGTATAATTTTAAACAGCGGAATTGAGTATTGGCGACCAAAACTTTGGTCGCTAAAGATCTGTCTTTTTGCCGACTAAAACCTTTTTAGTCGCCAAAACCTTCTGCGACCGTTTATTCGCGACAAAACCGGCGACTAAAAAATTTAGTCGGGGAAGGTAAAAAGGCGACTTTTGGCGACTAAAACTGGACCTTTGGCGACTAAAAATTTAGTCGCCAAAAGTGATTTTTCTTGTAGTGCAATTACAAGAAAGATCTAACCAAAAAATCTGCGGAGATAACTCCCAAAGCCAATAAGGTATTGTTTCTGAAATGGCAACGCTTGCGAGCCTTATATAAGAAAGTTGTTTTTTATTACTTAGCCATGCTGGAAATCTACGACCCAATCAACAGTTCCGGACTGTGATTTTTGTTAGGCTAAAAGGAGGAACCCATTCGCGGCTCATATTGAAGATTAAACTTTTGTTCGACGATGATATTCTGAAACTCTGCAATTTTGTGAGGCCTTGCAATTGATTTTGGGAGAGAGCACCTTCCCAATAATTGTTATCAAGTAACAAGAAGTTTAAGTTTGCAAGTTTTCCGATGCCATCTGGTATGGACCCATTCATTTGATTAAAAGAGAGGTCTAACATCTCCAATTTGGACAACCTTCCAATTGATGCTGGGATTGGGCCTGAGATTACGTTATTAAAAAGTAGAAGGTATCTTAAGTTCTGAAGGCGTGCTAGTGAATAATCTGGCAACTGTCCACTCACTTGGTTACTTCCTAACCATAAATCTTCTAAGCTGCTGTTGCTGCATTCAACCAAACCCCCTATAAGTTCACATATGTCTCCGTTAATTTGATTTTCGAATAAATCTAAAGTTCTCAAGTTACAGATGTTTCCCCATGGGATATCAGAAACAGAGGTCTTCATATAACTACTACAAAGATATATTTGCAAAAGGGAACATATATTAAACAACCATTGAGGTATTGAAGAGTTGAAATTGTTATCAGAGATATCAAGGACGGAAAGGGAAGTGAAATTGATGTTTGGTACAGAGTGAGGCAAGTTGTGAAGTTCACAACCTCGCAATCTCAATTCCGACAGAGAAGGAAGCATATTAAGAGCTTGCAGCCAATTAGTACTTGCCAAAGTGAGGTTCACATTTCCAAGATTAAGATATTTTAGAGGAGACAGACCAACAAGCCAGTTTAAATCGGAAACCCAACTTGAAAGCCCAAGGAGATCAAGGTGGCGCAAATTTGATAGGTTTCCAAGATGAGGAGGAATCATTCCAACAAGAGATGCATTAGAGAGATCGAGGTAGCTCAACTTTTCAAGTGAACCTAAGAAGTTAGGGATTGCAATCCCTTGGAAATCATTCATGCTTAGGTCCAAATACTTCAAATATTTCAAGTTGAGCAAGGAGGAACTTACCTCACCACCCAAACAAGATGAGTTGGTTGTAGGTGCATAACCAATTTTTTTGTCATAACAGTCACCGAGGTTTCCAAGGTCCAGCGCTACAACATGGCCAGTCTGGTTGCAGCAACCTACGCCCATCCACGTACAACAATCAATGCCTACCCAAGAAGAAGAAAGTAGACCAGAAGGATCTGTGAGACCTTTTTTGAATTCAACAAGTGCTTTCCTTTCAATCCCTATGCAACTGGGTTTGGAATTGCTAGAGTTGGAACTGAATCTACTGGCTTCAAGGGAAACAAACATCAAAAACAAAGGAAGGAAAAGAACAAGTTGAAAACAACTGTTGGCCATGCTTACCATGATACAACTCCAAGTTTTGTCCAACACAAACGTATTATATATGCAGTAATGTAGGAAATATAGGATGTTTCATGGAATCTACCAGTCAGCAACAAACTGTTTGTCCTTTAAAATACAAAAAGTATATGTACTTATTATAAAACACAAAATTTCACACAAAAGTGATGGTTCATGAAGTAAATTCAATGTATTTAGGCACGTATATGGACTTCCTGTCTTCATAGCTGAGAATTTTGACTGGCATCTGTCAATTAATTGTACCCTGAAACTTCGAAACATCTTTTTCTTAATTCCCTTGTTCTGATTTTCCATTAAAAAAAAAGTACCACTAACCTCTTCTTCCTTTAATTTATGAGAGGGGAGATTTACACCGGACAATACGGCCGAGCTACTGTAATGCGGGTGTGGCAAACCTCACGGTGCCGAGCTGTCTTCTCAATTGGCGCGCCCCTCCGGCCAGTCGTACACGGCTGAGGTAGGTTGGCCGACCAGGCATGGTCTAAGGCCTGGCCGAGCTATGACTGCTAGACGTTCAGTGATAGGCGCGCGTTAGCATGGCACAACCGAGCAAATGACGGTCCGGAATGAGTCTAGAGAAGGGGACCAGCACGCTTCGCCTTCAGTTAACCCGGAGAGTTTGGGCCAGGATGGTGGTCAGCGTGTGCCCGACCGGATAGCTCGGAAGCTCGGTCGTGTTCTCTGTGGTTGTTATTTTCTCCAAGGAATAGGCCAGTTTTGGTATGCCGGTCAGGTGTGCCACTTGGGCCAATGGCGTGAGGGAGAGGAAATCTGCTCCAGGCACGCGTCAATATCGTTTGGCAGTTTTGCATGTACTGGATGGAGGATTTGGCCTTTATACGCGTAAGGTGGTGGGAGGCGAGAACTGCCACTTGTCCAGGGAAGGACAGCAAAGCTAGTGCGCGCACAATCCTGAGGCTGCATAGCCAGCCTAGAAAAAGGAAGGGAAGATGAACGTTAGAGGTAAGCAATGAATGCCATCTGAAACACACACTCTCTCTCTAATAGCCTTCTTCTTCCTCAAGTGATCTGACTTGATCGTCGGAGGGTCTATCTGGCAACCCACCGCCGGGCAGCTCACCGTTTCTTTGTTGCCAGGTTAGACGCCGTCACGTGAAGCTTGAGTCCAAGGAGTACGGAAAGCACTGGATATTTTGCCCCCGTACAATTGGCGTCGTCTGTGGGAAGTCTTTGATACTCAAACCTTGCTCTTCAAGCTTCTTCGACCATTTACATGGCCAACAACGACGAAACTCCACTGTCCATCGTCGATGGTATCACACCAGAGTCTGTCCGATGGAGAGAAGGCCCCTTGAATGTTCCAGCCATGGCGGGCCTAGAAACTTCTTCGCGAGGTGCGCGAGACAAGCGCGGGAGGAGCACTGATCGCTTGAAGAGTCCAGAGGGCCGTCGGCGGCGGGGGGAGTCCCGCGCGCAGCACCTGGAGCACAAACTCAAAGACCAAGACGCCCTCATCCGCAAGATGGCGGCTGAGATGGAGATGCTGAAATGCCAGATTAAGGGGAAGGGTGTTGCTGGAGAGGGCAACCTCAGTGAGTGCACCCCGTCACCCCGTTCTAACAGCCGCCGCCAGGAAAGGACGCACTCTTTCTCTACTACCAAAAACTATGGGGTTGGGGATTCCGACCCAAGGGAGGGAAGGTCTCTCACACGCGGCAGTACCTACCGCCCCTCGCGCCCGTCGTCGACGTCACGATACTCTTTCTCTACCCGTTCCAAAGACTTGAGGGATGTGTTGGAGGAGAGGGCGCACCGTCGAGAGGCTCAGAGAGTGCCGGCGTTGCAGAGGTTGAGCACCCAAGTTCGTTGTAGCGAAGAAGTGGCAATGCCAGCGCCTCGGGTGATGACCCCTGCACTAGTGGACAAAGAGCTGGCGAGACTTACAGCCACACCGCTATCTCTAGAAATCAAGAGTACACCGCTCCCTGCCGGATTCCACCAGCCTAAGTTCACTTTGTATGATGGCAAGACGAATCCGTACATGCACATAAGTCATTACTAGCAAGTAATGGCTGGCCACCGGCGCAATAACGCCTTGATGTGCCTCATATTCCCAGCAAGCTTAGGAGAACTGGGCCTGAAATGGTTCGAAAGGCTTCCAGAGGGGAGTATCGAGGGGTGGCAGCAGCTAGCGGAAGCCTTCGTCACCAGATTCAAGACCAACACACGAACACCCAAGGAGGTCGACCATCTCCTGGGCATCAAAATGGAATCTGGAGGTTCGTTGAAGGCATACAATACAAGATACTGGGAAACCTACAGTGAAATCCTCGACTGTCTTACCAATCTGGCGATCACTCAATACAAGCGGGGTCTCCCAGTCGGACATAGGCTGCGAGATTCGCTCACAATGCACCAACCCACAACCATGGAGTCCTTGATACAACGGATCAATGAGCACATTCGTATGGAGGATGATGCCGCCTCCGCGACCAAGAAGGTTAACCCGGTCGCAGCGGACAGAAGGGTGGTGGGGAAGGATCACTCGGTCGGGCATGAGAATAAACGCCCAAACGACCGGTCAAAAGATCAACGTCGTGGCCCAAACCGCGATGATAGAAACAAAGGTCGCAGAAACAACCGAGCTGACGCTCCGCGTGATGTAGAGGAGGATGCCAAGAGAAAATTGAAGGTGCAGACTGGAATCACCACGGTCTTTAAAATCCCTATCTACCGCATCTTGAGTGAGATTCGAGGCGAGCCTTTTGTCCGCTGGCCGACCAAGTTGGGGAATGCACAGAGAGGCTTCAATTCAAGATATTGCTGCACCTTCCATTAGGAACGGGGACACCGAACGGAGGATTGCTTACCGCTCAAACAACATTTGGAGGAGCCAGTGGCCGCGGGACATCTTGACCAATACATAGATGGGGGTATGAAAGCCGCGCCATTGGGGCAAACCGAGCCAAACGGCCTAGCCGCCCTAGAGGCAGCACCCCAAGGCGTAATCAACGTCATCCATGGCATCATTGAACCAGCAAGGGTCTGCGAGCTCAGAGGGATGATTAAGAAAGCCGAGCACATGAGGGGAGTGCTCTCCGTTCTGCCCGCTATGAAGAAAGGGAGGACCGAGGAGAAGGACATCATTACCTTTTCGAGCAGGGACTTGGAGCGGATTCAGATGCCCCACAATGATGCTGTAGTGGTAACTCTTTGCGTCAAAGACTTTGACATCAAGAGGATCTTGATCGACCAGGGGAGTTCGGTCGAAATTATGTATTATGACGCGTTCAAACAAATGAAGTTAGAGGACAAGGACTTGGCCCCTACGACGTCCCCTTTGGTTGGCTTCAACTCTCAGCCAGAATGGCCGGTAAGGAAGATCATATTGCCGGTCAAAGCGGGTTCAGTCACAAAGCAAGTAGAGTTCTAGGTGCTCAAAGTCCCATCCACCTATAACTTAATTTTGGGCAGGGGCGGGTTGCACGCCATACAAGCAGTAGCGTCGACTTACCATCAGGTTTTGCACTTCCCGGCGACAAGCGGACAAATAGAGGAAGTTTGGGGAGACCAGGTGATGGCAAAACAATGCTTCATTGCAGTAAATGGCAGCCGAGCAACCAAAGGATTTGTCCAAATGATTGAGGGACCCAAGGGAAATGAGGTCCTTGAAGACGTAAGAAGAAAGGCCGAGGAAAAATCGGTCGAGGATTGGTGGAAGTGCGCATCGACGAGAACGACCCAACTAAGTTCTTCCTCTTGGGATCATCTTTGTCTAGCGCCGAGTGGTTAGATTATGTCAACTTATTGGTTTCCAATTTGGAGGCTTTTACGTGGACGCTTTACGACATGCCTGGCGTTGACCCCAGCTTTATTTGCCACCAGTTGAATGTCTTCCCCAATGCACGATTGGTCATCCAAAGGACACGCCGCTCAGCCTTGCACCATGCCGAGGTAGTGGCAGAAGAAGTGAAAAACTTACTGGAAGCTGGGACTATAGAAGAAGTGCAATACCCTCAATGGATATCCAACATGGTAGTTGTTCCGAAAAAGAATGGCAAGTGGCGAGTCTGCGTCGACTACAAGACGGTCAACCGTACTTGCCCAAAGGATAGCTTCCCCCTCCCTCGAATTGACCAGCTGGTGGACTTGACCGCTGGCCATCAGTGGTTTAGCTTCCTGGATGCATATCGCGGTTACCACCAGATAGCCATGTACGAACCGGACCGAGAGATCACTTCGTTCACTACTCCTAGGGGCTTGTATTGCTATAAAGTCATGCCATTCGGACTGAAAAATGCCGGGTCAACTTTTCAAAGGATGGTGACAAAGATGTTCGCGCCACTGCTGGGCCGCACCATGGAGGCCTACATTGACGATGTGGTGGTAAAGAGTAAGGAGGAGTCTCAACACCTCGCCGACCTAGCAGAGATGTTTGCCATACTTAAACACCACAAGCTTCGTTTGAATGCCTCCAAATGCGTCTTCAGAGTCGGCACCGAAAAGTTTCTGGGTTTTCTTGTCACAAACCGAGGGATTGAAGCCGACCCATCCCAAATCAAGGCTGTACAGGAGCTGGAGCGCCCGAACTCCACAAATGACGTGCAACATCTTGCCGGGATGGCAGCCGCGCTGAACAGATTTATCAGTTGGTCTTCAGATCGTTGCAGGCCCTTCTTCAAAACTTTGAAAGCCAAGTTTTTCTGGGATGACGAATGTGACCGTGCACTGGCGGATCTAAAAGTGCACCTTTCCTCAGCCCCAATCTTGGTCACGCCAAAACCGGGTGAAGAACTGTATCTCTACTTGGCGGTCTCAATATGCGATGAGCGCCGTCTTAGTCCGTGCTGAAGGCATCCAGCCCCTGCCCATCTTCTATGTAAGCAAGACTCTGCTCCCAGTTGAGATGAGATATCTTCCTCTAGAAAAATTAGCGCTGGCCCTGATGATGGCTTTGAGGAAGCTGGCGCACTATTTTCATGCCCATGCAATAGTTGTGCTAACCGAGTTTC